ACACACACACACACACACACACACACACACACACACACACACACACACGCACACACACACACACACACAGGCTAGATAAACCATAAGGCATTTTATCTTTAAGCACTCCTTCCCTCCTCGTCTCTCAACCTCCTTAAAGATGATAAATATGTACTGAAATGTCTTAATGCTGACTTTCTGCACTAAAAATATCAAAAGAATAAAAAAGTAAAATGTCTGAATAAGCCAGAGTCTAACAACAAACAGCCTGTGATTTGTCCTCAGGCACAGCAAAGACACACAAAGCCATGCTCTACTTGTGCAGCCAGTCAGAGACTTTCTTCTGCAGGACCCAGCTCCTCCTCGCTGCCTGCTTTAAAAACACAGAAGTCTGTGGAAATTACAACAACCCAACATGGAGGAGGGCTYAAATGAGTTWACCCAGATTTTACTTTAAAAACCAYGAATGTTTTAATCACTGGTGAGTCAACAAACAAGATCCATGTTCTCCACTTTTAACCCCCCTCTCATGGAAAATGAGCAACATGACCTCCGAGCGCTCATCGCAGCTCAGAAATAAGCAGAATGGAAACTTACGAAGACAGAACCACAGCCACAGCGTCGTTGAGCACGCTCTCTCCAAACAGCAAGGCGTACAGGTCTGCATCAACCTGCAGCTCGTGGAAAATAGCCAGAACTGTCACTAAGAAACAGAAAAAAAAAACATGTTATTCCTTTATAGAGAGAGTGATCAAAAGAACTGTACATCACAGAAACGTTCTCCAAATCTATAGTTTATTCTGCGTTAACAATAATTTAAGCTTTAATGCTGTAACTTAAGGCAGGTGTCTTTAAACCTGTTCCTCGTGATCCACTGTCCTACATGTTTTAGCCTTCTCCCTGCTTCAACTAAAATATTATTATTAATAAAGATTTATGTTTCTATTATAAAGGACTGGAACATGGATTCATGAGTAGCCTAAAACACAAATAAAAACATGCTTTTGATGATTTTATTTTAGCAGAATGTACTACAAACATACAACTGTTTACATTTTTCCTGCATAGATTTGATCTCAGTTGGACTTTGTATTAAATGCCAGAATGGGGAGTGGGCGTTTCCCACTTACAAGTCCTAAACGTAAACAGGAATGCCCCTCTGGTGGGAATTCTCTGATAGAAAGTGGGAAAGTTCAGAATCCAAGGCTGCAGCTACTTACCACAACTCAACAGTGAATAAAACTCTCTTATTGTTACCTTTATTAGTATGTCTAGATTATTTATTTCATATTTAGTCAGTCGTGCACGTAGTACTTTTCAGTGTTTATAAGAGGACGTGTTAAAACACTGTTTCTATGAAGGAAATACCACATAGAGCTCAGTTATTGTTTGTTAGCGGTGCTCAGCCATAGCAAGGAGACGAGAAACTGGATATTTGAAGGTCAGCATTATGCTCCTGTGGCCCTCAGTGAAAATGAGTTTGACACCCCTGGTTTACAGGAAGTTGATTTATTACGCAGCACATAAATCACTGCAGTTGTATGCAGACGCAGTTTTGGAAGATGCTATGTTGTGATACACTAAACACATACAACAAGCTCAGTTTCAAGAAAATTCTGCAATAAATGATTAGCCCTACAAAAGTTGTGTGGAAGCATTTTTACCAGGGTCTGTGGCTGAAACGATGGCGCCGTAGAACAAACAGTCAGTGAAGAAGAAGTCTCCGCCCAGCTGACTGAGACGCTTCATCAGCGTCACGCAGCCGTACATCAGCAACCTGTTGGAGGACAAAACAAAACAAAACACACAACGGACTTTAACCTCGCAATCAAAGACAAAGGGATTGTTTTTATTGGAGAAAATGAATGTTCTGACCCAATCACGAAACAGGAAATGACAGTCCCCAAAAAGGCGTAAGCCAGGATGGAACCCATATTCCGGAAAAAATGTCTCTGAAAGATAAAATAAAACGCCTCAAAGGTCCCAAACAGAAGCTTCAATGATCGAGGAGAGATTTTTTTATTACTCAAAGGAAGATGTAAAGAAAAATAAATAAATAATTCTGTACCCTTTTTAAGCTGTAGCCAGCATGAAAGATGATGGGTGGTAGTAGAATATTGAAGAACACTTCAGGGTCAAAGGTCACCTGAGTCACACAAAAAAGAAACAACGAGAAAAGCATCAACAAAACAGCCAAGTATTTTCATCAACACTTTCAGCTCCGTCAGAGATTTTCAGATAACTTTTAAGAACTTATTCAACAGATGGTGACACATCTGGGACAGAATGAAGTCATTTTTAGAATCAAAAAAGAACTGATGGGAAGAGTTAATGACAAAACGTTGAAGGGGAGCAGCTTCAATACTTTTATGCTGCGTTCACACCGAACGCGATTTCAGCTTCAAAATCGCATCCAACACTTCAAGTTGGTCGCTTGTGCGCTTTGAGGTCAGACGCAGGACAGC